ATATGTCCAATAAGTTATCTGCATGAATGAAGAAGGCAATCAATATTATTAGTCACTCCGTCCTCACCCATGCGAATGCGCAGTGAAGCAGGAAGTTAGTTCGTTCTCGCACCGCGTCCCACAGATGTTTAGAGATGGCCAGCAGCGATAGGGTCGTCGCTGTTGGAGCCGAAGTCAAACAATGAGGGACTACCGCATTGCTGCACTTTAGCCTGCGCTGCTATCAGCTGATGGGCATGCACGGACTGCCCTTACCACGCGACCCTTACCAGCTTACCTGGGACGCTTTTGGCAGTTGTATGAAGCACTGGCAGCGCCACAAACTGCAACGACCACACCATCAGGTCTAACCCTGCGGCAACAGCTGGTGCAACATTGGCGCTTCTTGGCCATATTCTATGGAACGTTCTTGCTGGAGATAGCGCTATTGTGTGTTTATGTGGCCCTGCAGGAGGGCTCCCGTCACCTTGTTCTCTTCTGGATCACCTTTCAGCCGTTCATATTGGTGGTGCACCTGCGAAACAGCCAGTTCGTGCTACACGTGCATCTGTTGCGCCAGAAGCTCCTGCAGATGGATTGCGAGCTGATACTACTCGTCGAATACTCGAGCTTTGCTAACAGCTCAGCCAGCTTTTTCGGCTTCGAGGAATATCTAAGGCATCGTATGCGCGAAATGCAGATGAACTACACGCGCATCCACGAGCTGTGCACCTGCTGCAGAAGAGGGTTCAGCTGCTCCATGCTTACCGTGTTGCTTATGACTTACATTCGCATCACAGTCGATTGCTAGTTTTTTTTTTTTTTTTGTATACCAAGCTTAGCAACATTACTAACTTGGGTAAGTCAACAAATAAATTCTTAAAATGTTGCCCACATTGCACCGCAGCCCAAGCGCAGTCGCTGCTTACTGCGCAGTTAGCAGAGCGCGTTCTAATACGTGCGTTTGTATGTCTGTGTGTCAAAAGGAAGTGCAGAGAGATTAGAATATCAGATTAGAGGGTTCAGGGTATCTCCTAGTCGAGCAGTCTCGACCAGAGTCTTCTTACTTGTTACACCCAGGACCTATTGAAAATGGAAAATCAGGGTATAATGATTTTGTGAAAAAGTATGTAATGGACAGAAGGAATCATCGCAGACCCCATAAAGTATATACATATATTCTTGATCAGCACGACGAGCCGACTGTCCGTCAGTATGAGTGCGTCGATCTCAGAAGTTATAAGAGCTAGAGAGCTGAAATTTGGTACAAGCACTAACCAGAGAACACATAGACCGGACAAGTAGTGTAAAGCGTTTTGCACACTTTTTTTCGGGAGTTATCTCCCAGACCCTTCGTATTTGCTCGGCTCCTCCATTTTTGGGTTCGGGCTACGAAAAAATACGAAAGCACAATCATTTCGCTTCATGCGCTCGACCGAGATGGTCAAATATTGAACAAAAGATCCCTATGCGCTGAATGTTTCCCTTGCTCTCTCTCTCTCACGATGCTCTCTGCTCTCTCAAATATGTATATGTATGTATGCATGTGAGC